TCAACAGGTGAACCCACATATTGGCCAACAGATAGAAGAAAAATACCTGACTTAATTGATTTTGCGGTATCAAAGGGGGTACGTATTGAAACAACTACCTGTAAGTCCAATTTCGACTTGTCATCTGACCACTCGCCAATAATAATCACTCTCAATGACTGCTGTGAAATTATGGAAAAATGTATTCTTCATAATAAAAACACTGACTGGAATAGTTACCGTCAACTAATTTCAATTGGTCTAAATACCGAAGTCAGGTTAAAAACTGAATCTGACGTAACTGAAGCAGTAGAGCATTTCAACTCTTGTGTCCAAATGTCTGCATGGGAATCAACTCCACCAATTTCTAAAAGTGTTAAGCTAGATTATCCATTTAACATTAGATACCTGATTAAAGAAAAGCGTAGGATGAGAAAACATTGGCAACAGTCGAGATTCCCTGCGGATAAAACTCGCTTAAACAAACTGTGTAAACTCGTTAAAGCCCTTCTTTTAAAGTATAACAATAATCGCACGTCGCTATACCTTCAAAACCTAAGTGCTTCATGTGATACAAAATATTCCCTTTGGAAAGCCATAAAAAAGAACAACAGACCGATTGTCTATCCACCACCTATACGCAAAATCGACAACTCATGGGCAAAAAGCGATATTGAAAAAGCAGAAACATTTGCGTTACATTTGGACCAGGTCTTTAAATCAAATGATAACCAAAATATGCCTAATGTCATGAATCAAAGGATTAATTTTCTACAAGAGCCTTATCAATTGGAACTTCCAATTAAAAGATATACTATTAATGAAGTTAGAGATGTAATAACAAAGTTAAAAGTAAAAAAAGCTCCAGGATACGATTTAATCACAGGCATGGCCTTGCAGCAGCTCCCACCAAAAGGATTTGTATTTCTCACTCATCTATTTAACGCTGTGATAATAAGGGGGTTTATTCCGCCACAGTGGAAGATAGCACAAATCTCCATAATACCGAAACCAGGGAAAAGCCCAGAAGACGTCAAATCATATCGGCCAATAAGTCTACTTCCGATCCTGTCAAAAGTTATGGAAATCCTGTTTCTAAAGCGCCTTACTCCGTTTATCCAACAAAACAGACTCATACCTGACCATCAATTCGGCTTTCGCCAAAAACATAGCACAATAGAACAAATTCACAGACTTGTCAGACATATCCATAGTGCGATAGATGGTAAAAAATATTGCACTGCGGCATTTATAGATATTTCACAAGCGTTTGATCGAGTATGGCATGAGGGCCTCCTGTTCAAACTAAAACTGTATCTACCTCTAAATTTTTTCATATTTATAAAATCATACCTCTCGGCTAGGCACTTTTTCGTTAAGCATGGAAACGAAACTACAGTACTTCATGTTATAGAAGCAGGAGTACCTCAAGGTAGCATAATGGGACCAATGCTTTATCTTTTATTTACTGCGGATCTTCCCCTTACCGATGAGAGTGTTATCGGTACATTTGCAGACGACACAGCTATTTTATCAGTTGACAGTGACCCAATCAGTGCTTCCACCAAACTTCAAACCTGCCTTGATAATGTTGCTCTCTGGATGATAAACTGGCGTATTAAACCGAATGAATCAAAATCTGTCCAGGTAACATTCACTACAAAACGTTCTACGTGCCCGCCGGTCTTAATTAACAATACTCAATTACCACAAGCTGTAGAAACAAAATACTTGGGCATACATCTGGATAGTAAGCTAACCTGGAAATCGCACATATTCAAAAAGCGTAAAGCCTTGGGTCTTAAATTACGAAACTTATTTTGGTTCCTCAGCCGAAATTCCAAACTGTCACTCGACAATAAGCTGCTTATATACAAATCTGTACTTAAACCTATGTGGAGTTATGGGGCCCAATTATGGGGTACAGCAGCAGACTCAAACCTGGCAATTATACAGCGCTTCCAATCTAAAACACTACGAATGATCACAAACGCACCTTGGTATATAACGAATGAACAGCTACATAAACAATTACATGTTCGAACAATCAAGGAAGAAATAGCAAGTATTTTAAAGAATTACGCTCAACGCTTATATATGCACCCAAACCCTCTGGTTACTCAACTGATGTCCCCTTCCAATACCTTTACAAGGCTGAGAAGAAAAACATCGCGAGACATTTTAAATATGTATATGTAGACAATACACTTTTATTTTAAATATATATGGATATGTCACTGGGCATAGTCCATACGTGCCTTTCTTTTTATATCGTAATAACCATTATTACGATTTAAATTTATATATATTACTTATTGTCATTCATTCCTGACAGATTGTAATAAATAAATGGATTTCAAAAAAAAAAAAAAAAAA